ACAGTTTAGATTTTCACCCAACTGAAGCTATCAGACTTAAAATCAATGAATGAAGCTGTGGGTTTGGAAGCACTGCAAGGTTTACTCCATGTTCCATGTGACCTGGGCTGCTTGATACATCAGTTCGGCAGTAGAGTCCTCCAAGGCGTAAATACACAGGGAAGTTGTCTCATCACATATCTCTATGTCATAGATTGATACCCTTACCAAGGACAAACCCTTCATGTTAGGATTTTCGTTTTTGTAGAATTAAATTTAAATTTGTGTAGTTTAATGTTTTATGTATTATTTGATGTAATATTATTTGGGAGGGTTTTTGTTAAAAGGGAAGAAACAAGTTCTGAAAAGGTTTAAAATGTATGGTTTCTGTTTTCAAGTAACATGTAAACATGCAGCGTTAGAAATTGGCACTCGTCTTACAGTCCTGACCAAACTGCCCAATAGTTAAGGTATCCTGACTAGGAGCAATTTGCCTTTTTCAAGGGTTTAGTATTGTTATCATTATAAGGATGAGTTGACTAAAACTGTTAGTTTCTATCGCTGGACATGTACACCAGTCTACTTCTGTGGGTGATCTACGGTGCTGCAATTTGTTGCTGGCTAAGCTGTCAGCTGATTGTCATCCTTGATTTGTCAGCATGGTTTCACCAAGGGGATAAATGTCACTTACCTCCCACATAGGCTGACATGCTGTGATATAACTGAAATACGGTTCAAAGTAGTCCTCTACCCAACTCTCCAGCTCTGTTGGAAATTGTAGGGATGTCTAAGAGAATGTATTAAGTTACAGAGTTGAGACCCTGTTTCTTTTATAGAACATGATGGATGATCTGTTTTCTTGTGAAGATAATGTCCATGCCAGCTTGCACCTGGTCTTGTTTTTTGACTTGTTTGTGGTCCCATCGGGACCCAGGTGAGAAAAGGTCCCAAGCACTGCAGGGTACGGATCGTTGCTCATGTTGTCAGTCACTGGTTTGCCTGATCCATACTTAACTCTTTCAACACTGCAGGATGGTACACCAGCCAAGAAGTCGCGAGTCCCCGGACACTGCAGGCCGCCCGTAGCCACATCAAAATAATACATACTTTTAGGAACCCACCAGTCATATCATTCATCTATTAAATCATCACATTTCACGATGTCATAAATACGTATTTCATTTTAATTGTCCCCCGCCGCGGATATAGTATTCACGACCGTCCGTACGTCCGTCCGTACGTCCCACCTGTTTGTGTCCGCGATATCTCAAGAACTAAACGCTGGATTGTCTTCATATTTGGAACTATGGTGTATATACAGACTCTGCAGACACCAGTCGGTTTTTGTGACCTTGCCCCCATTTTCAAGGTCACAGCAGGCAAATCTGCTTTGGGAGTTGGAAAACGGTGTTGCCGCGATATCTCAGGAACTAAACACTGGATTGTTTTCATATTTGGAACTATGGTATATATACAGGAGGGGGACATTTCATCACTTTGTGACAAATACTTGTTTATCATATTTTATCGATAGATTCAAAGATATTTCACTTTTTCCTGCAGAGTTATTGAAAATATAATTCTCTGACACACACTTCGACAATGGGTCCACATCGAACATACATCAAAGTTATTATTTTCATCTTTTTAATGCAAGTCAAATGACATCATCTTTGTCGCCTCAATTTCTCATCTCGAACAACACTCGCATGTTAAATGCCAAAATATATGCATGAGAAGTCTTTGTCACAGCTTGTAACATTCACGAAGTTCCATATTTTTAATATAGATAGCCATTTCTTGTATCAGTCGTTCAGAATAACACGATTTAACCAAAACCTTTCATCCAAATCTGAAATTCAACATACGCGAAGATGGTACTATTGCTGTAATTTGATTGGCTACCTTAGGTCACATGCTTAAATTTGACAAATCATGAACCTTGTTGCAGATTTAGGCAAGAAAGCGTCATTAGAAACCAATTTCTATCCCAGATGAATAAACAATTGTTTGCATTAAGGAATTATTGGTTGGTTAGATGGATGAGAAAAAACAACCTCGGCATAACTACTCAGAAAGTGACTTCTGTGACTCCAAGAAGCAAAACTTCTTGAAGATGTAGATCATATCTCGCAGGACATGTGGCCATGACATTTTCAGTGTTGCAAAAATGTGCATACAACAGTAATCAGCAAGAAGTGATTTGATTGGCAGAGATGCAGCAGTCATCCAAAAAGCTATTTACATTTCTGCTGATGGCAAGTGACAATTGCCGAAGAGTTCCTTCCCTTTCATGGAGAAATTGAACAATAGTTCAGTGTTGATGGAGATTTATAGATATGTTTTTTGTTGGGGTTTTTCCAAAGTCGGAAAAAATCAGTTTGGTGGCATAATATAAGACAAAATATAGCGCATAATAAGTCTGGCTTTATTGTCATTTGAAATAGTCATCATAATGAAGGACTTACTAATTGCAAGGCCTATCAATCTTTGTCGGGTACAAAAAGTCTGAGATGCGTTTATGCTTGTCATAATGGGGACAATATCTCATGGAAAACAGTTGAACAAACACTTGAGCATTAATACACCCAGCATGGACACAGACCATTCTATGATAGGCCATAGCCAGTTGCTGAAACACTGAAATAAATATACTAAATTAGATTTTCCTGTGGATGGGTCCTCTATATGAGGAACCCTAATCTGATTAGTTTCCTTTGAGGAGGGTCGGTGTTCAGCGATTAATAGGTCCTCATTTTCTCGTAATCGCCTATAAATGATGACATTTTCCAGATGGTCCATGATTGTCTGTATCACTAACTGTGAATTGTGTTGGATGATGTTCATGATGTCAGTCACTGGATTTTCTGGGCCATACATGATTACTTAGAGACTGCTGTCATACAGCTCAAAATATTGCTGAGTGCGGCATTAAACAAACAAACAAAACTTTGTGTTATGTAAACAACATACTATTTCTTTTGCTGCGAATAGCTGCAAGGTTGCTGATGCGGGTTTAAGCAATGACTCACTCATCCATACCCATCACCTAGAATTATCCAGGCATTGAGGGACAACCATGAAGAGAGTAGGACTCTGTACTTTACACTAAGAGTGTTGTAAAGGTGTCGTAGTGAAAAATATCATAGCTAAGTGTATTCCTTCACAAAAGAGATCAGTGTCTTAGACACTGATTTATATTGTATAAGTAAGATAATGCTGCAATAGGTTGAGGCAGCTTCAAGAAAAACTGTTATGTTAGTTGTACTTTTTGTCGTCACTAATAGGTGTCTGAGCTAAGACAGCTTGGTGAATAGGGTGCCTGGTGTCAGTAACAGGTGGGCCCTTACTGACTGCTTGTGCTAGACAGCTTGGTGAAAAGGGTGCCTGGTGTCAGTAACAGGTTGGCCCTTACTGACTGCTTGTGCTAGACAGCTTGGTGAAAAGGGTGCCTGGTGTCAGTAACAGGTTGGCCCTTACTGACTGCTTGTGCTAGACAGCTTGGTGAATAGGGTGCCTGGTGTCAGTAACAGGTTGGCCCTTACTGACTGCTTGTGCTAGACAGCTTGGTGAATAGGGTGCCTGGTGTCAGTAACAGGTTGGCCCTTACTGACTGCTTGTGTTAGATAGCTTGGTGAAAAGGGTGCCTGGTGTCAGTAACAGGTGGGTACTTACTGACTGCTTGTGCTAGACAGCTTGTTGAATAGGGTGCCTGGTGTCAGTAACAGGTGGGTCCTTACTGACTGCTTGTGCTAGACAGCTTGTTGAATAGGGTGCCTGGTGTCAGTAACAGGTGGGTACTTACTGACTGCTTGTGTTAGATAGCTTGGTGAATAGGGTGCCTGGTGTCAGTAACAGGTGGGTCCTTACTGTCTGCTTGTGCTAGACAGCTTGTTGAATAGGGTGCCTGGTGTCAGTAACAGGTGGGTACTTACTGACTGCTTGTGCTAGACAGCTTGGTGAATAGGGTGCCTGGTGTCAGTAACGGGTTGGCCCTTACTGACTGCTTGTGCTAGACAGCTTGGTGAATAGGGTGCCTGGTGTCAGTAACAGGTGGGCCCTTACTGACTGCTTGTGCTAGACAGCTTGTTGAATAGGGTGCCTGGTGTCAGTAACAGGTGGGTACTTACTGACTGCTTGTGTTAGATAGCTTGGTGAATAGGGTGCCTGGTGTCAGTAACAGGTGGGTCCTTACTTTCTGCTTGTGCTAGACAGCTTGTTGAATAGGGTGCCTGGTGTCAGTAACAGGTGGGTACTTACTGACTGCTTGTGCTAGACAGCTTGGTGAATAGGGTGCCTGGTGTCAGTAACGGGTTGGCCCTTACTGACTGCTTGTGCTAGACAGCTTGGTGAATAGGGTGCCTGGTGTCAGTAACAGGTGGGCCCTTACTGACTGCTTGTGCTAGATAGCTTGGTAAATAGGGTGCCTGGTGTCAGTAACAGGTGGGTCCTTACTGACTGCTTGTGCTAGACAGCTTGGTGAATAGGGTGCCTGGTGTCAGTAACAGGTGGGTCCTTACTGTCTGCTTGTGTTAGACAGCTTGGTGAATAGGGTGCCTGGTGTCAGTAACAGGTTGGCCCTTACTGACTGCTTGTGCTAGATAGCTTGGTGAATAGGGTGCCTGGTGTCAGTAACAGGTGGGTCCTTACTGACTGCTTGTGCTAGACAGCTTGGTGAATAGGGTGCCTGGTGTCTGTAACAGGTGGGTCCTTACTGACTGCTTGTGCTAGACAGCTCTACATTGCTTACTCCGTATAGATCATGAACACTTCAGACATGTAGTATAATCCTTCACAAAACCAATCCTAGTGAGAGCTGTTGTTCAATCTCCTTCATTTCAATTGCCTCTTTGTGGCAGACTTTTTCAGCATGAAGAGGAACTGCAGCAAACCTGGCTTGCAGAAAGTGCAGACGATCACATCGACAGTTCAATAAGAACTTTTTGACCCAATTGAAAGGAAAGTGGAGAGGATAATGAATTGGAAGCTTGATACTGATGCTATGCTTTGTGTTGTTGTAGGTACCTATTAGAAGATCAGCTGAAGGGGCCGTCGAGTGTGGAGGGATATGTCCGAGCTCTGGAGAAAGGCTGTCGATGTATTGAACGTAAGTACAAAAAACCTGATAGATGTAAACAGAAGTTTGTCCAAACCAAAGTTTCTCCTTCAAGACACCTGTTGGGATCCTGGGGCTGAGTAAGTAGAATTGCCTCAGATCAAAACTGAAATCTGAAGATCAGGTGAGATCTGGGCCCTCTTCCTCAAAGTGATCTCAGCAGTAAGACGATCGTAACTCTCTTACATTAACATTGGCTTATGATGGTTGCAGCACTAAATCGCTTTGTGGAACAAGGCCCTGTGATTGTGTAGCATTGAGCCCTAATTGTGCTGATCAATGCTCAAGCTGTCAGCCTCTGGTTTGTCTGGTCCAAACAGGATTATTCACAGACTGGAATGTTATTGCGACATATAACTGTCTGTACACTCTCACTCAACCACTCCAGCAACAGTAAGCATATGTATAGGTTTACATGAATAGGTTTGTATTCTCTCAAAATAGCAGGTGCATTCCATGGTGGATCTCTTTATGAAAACAAAATTCCAGTCATATGCCAAGAGTACAGAAGCTACACCAGCTGCACTACATCATATGCTGAAACAAGGCTCCGGGTTCAGTTGCATCCAGGACCATCAGAGTGTATGACAGGGGCAACATAGGGTTAGCCTGTGTGGGATGCATCCAGCACCATCAGAGTGTATGACAGGGGCAACATAGGGTTAGCCTGTGTGGGATGCATCCAGCACCATCAGAGTGTATGACAGGAGCAACATAGGGTTAGCCTGTGTGGGATGCATCCAGCACCATCAGAGTGTATGACAGGAGCAACATAGGGTTAGCCTGTGTGGGATGCATCCAGCACCATCAGAGTGTATGACAGGAGCAACATAGGGTTAGCCTGTGTGGGATGCATCCAGCACCATCAGAGTGTATGACAGGAGCAACATAGGGTTAGCCTGTGTGGGATGCATCCAGCACCATCAGAGTGTATGACAGGGGCAACACAGGGTTAGCCTGTGTGGGATGCATCCAGCACCATCAGAGTGTATGACAGGAGCAACATAGGGTTAGCCTGTGTGGGATGCATCCAGCACCATCAGAGTGTATGACAGGAGCAACACAGGGTTAGCCTGTGTGGGATGCATCCAGCACCATCAGATTGTATGACAGGGGCAACACAGGGTTAGTCTGTGTGGGATGCATCCAGCACCATCAGAGTGTATGACAGGAGCAACATAGGGTTAGCCTGTGTGGGATGCATCCAGCACCATCAGAGTGTATGACAGGAGCAACATAGGGTTAGCCTGTGTGGGATGCATCCAGCACCATCAGAGTGTATGACAGGAGCAACATAGGGTTAGCCTGTGTGGGATGCATCCAGCACCATCAGAGTGTATGACAGGAGCAACACAGGGTTAGCCTGTGTGGGATGCATCCAGCACCATCAGAGCGTATGACAGGAGCAACATAGGGTTAGCCTGTGTGGGATGCATCCAGCACCATCAGAGTGTATGACAGGAGCAACATAGGGTTAGCCTGTGTGGGATGCATCCAGCACCATCAGAGTGTATGACAGGGGCAACATAGGGTTAGCCTGTGTGGGATGCATCCAGCACCATCAGAGTGTATGACAGGAGCAACATAGGGTTAGCCTGTGTGGGATGCATCCAGCACCATCAGAGTGTATGACAGGAGCAACATGGGTTAGTCTGTGTGGGATGCATCCAGCACCATCAGAGTGTATGACAGGAGCAACATAGGGTTAGCCTGTGTGGGATGCATCCAGCACCATCAGAGTGTATGACAGGGGCAACGCAGGGTTAGTCTGTGTGGGATGCATCCAGCACCATCAGAGTGTATGACAGGAGCAACATAGGGTTAGCCTGTGTGGGATGCATCCAGCACCATCAGAGTGTATGACAGGACAACAGAGGGGTTAGTCTGTGTGGGATGCATCCAGCACCATCAGAGTGTATGACAGGAGCAACATAGGGTTAGCCTGTGTGGGATGCATCCAGCACCATCAGAGTGTATGACAGGAGCAACATAGGGTTAGCCTGTGTGGGATGCATCCAGCACCATCAGAGTGTATGACAGGAGCAACATAGGGTTAGTCTGTGTGGGATGCATCCAGCACCATCAGAGTGTATGACAGGGGCAACACAGGGTTAGTCTGTGTGGGATGCATCCAGCACCATCAGAGTGTATGACAGGAGCAACACAGGGTTAGTCTGTGTGGGATGCATCCAGCACCATCAGAGTGTATGACAGGAGCAACATGGGTTAGTCTGTGTGGGATGCAGATGCATAGTCTGCAGCCTGTGCCATCAATGAGTGAGTAAGTTTGGTTTAACGCTGCCTTGAACAGTATTCCAGTTATATCACGGCGTGTCAGCTTGATGTGGAAGGAAAGCCCGAAGTGATGCAGGTTTTAGATGTTTACCACTAATAAGGTGAAACCCGCAAGCACGGGTATGGTGCTGACAAACCAAGAAACATAATCGTGGGGAAGCGGGATTCAAACCCACAATCATAGGTTTCTAGAGTGCTCAAGGGATGTAATTCTGCTCAGTAAATAGTGGCACCTTATACGACTGGGCCACTCATGCTCCTCGAAGTTTGAGGTCTATCTGATCTATAGGAGGAGGTGGTTGTCACATTCCTGATGTTTTCTCACTGTGCGGAGGTGACAAACCACAGTCTTTACACAGACAACCACCGGCGTCATGCAGCTGGGAAATTCTAGAGACCCACATCTTGGAGTTAACTCACACTGATAACTTCCATTGAGACATTTAATCCCAGAAATATTTTGCCATAGATAGTTGTATATAAAGTAATATTTGGTCAGTCACCAGGCTCAGTTTTAACGATATGCAGGGTGGTCTAAAGGGGATACTTTGTCACGAACAATGTTAATAGTACCAGTTACTTGAAAACTGATGCCCCAAGTGGATAGACGTTATCAACTCACTCAGTGTAGGAATATGTTCAAACACATAACCTCAAAGTGTCTACATTTAACCCAGAGAATGTTTCACATGAAGTAATTGATTTGTGATGATCTTTGTGTTGTCTTTTTTAATAAATATCGAACTCATGACTTTATCACATGACTGAAGATCTGTCCCACATTCAGGTGGGTAAATTTTCTGGAAAATCCTCTTGTAAACATGACCCCAAAATAACAGTGTAATTTAAAGCTGATGGAATATATGTTCAATGACAGTAAGTGTTTCAACAGTATACAGACTTGAACAGCTATGACCAATAAAATGATAAATGGTTGGTTAGTAACCAAAATGACAATAGGTCCATTAGAAGCAATAAAATAAGAAATACTTCAGTCCCTGCAGTTTCATTGATGGTTCATCATCATAAACAGTGCTGGAAAATGAAGGTCCCTGGGACTGTCTGTAAGGTTTATTGCTAGATATTTCTAGCTTGGGATTCCGTAGATGTTTAACCTTTGTGTACACGTTATGACAAGGAACTCATGACTTGAATTCATGATCTTGTATTCCGCGGGGACTCCATGGTAACTGATCTCCAGCAACTTGTGCTGCTGGTGAGGGCTGTATGACCAGGGTAGATTTGATATACAGTTTTATACAAACATTTTATAAAATGGGGGACTTGGATGATGGTGTGACAACATACTCACTAGCATAGATCACTGCTTGTCATATCACCAGTGTGAACGATCCAGACACGATTATCTCCATGCTGCCGTCATACAGCTTGAATTTCACACTGTGTGTCCAGTGTTAAACGACAGACACATCATCATCTTGGGTGCTGATAAAGGATGTCAGAAATTATGAAAATTTCTGACACAAATTGGGGTTTACGGGGTTAAAGTGGGAGTGTCCATCAGACTTTGGCAGAGTTCAGCAACAATAAGATACATGACAAGGGTGGACCCAGCATGTTTAAAAGGGAGGGGTCAAAAATATCAAAATCCTCTCTCTAGATAATTTTACTGCCTACAGCATACTACATTTGGTTTTCAAAAGGGGGTGTCTGGACCCCTGGACCCCCTGTGGATCCACCTATGCATGAGGGGTGAGTGGCCTTTCCCCCAGTTGCTACTGTGTGGGTGACAGTTGGTACAGAGCTATGAAGCAGTGACATGCCAGCCACAGATACTGATGGGACTCACAGCTTCTATTTACAGAGCAAGAGAAGGAAATGTGCTGCTTTGTCCAATGCTGTGGAATCACAATTCAGATTAAATTCGAAGGATGTAAATATCAGCTGTCTGAATGTGGCAATTTTTAACACAAAGTTCCCATGAATGTATCCCTGGTATTGAGCTAAATACAATTCTGGTCTTTGTGTCATTGTCTGGTGATATTTACTTAGGCAGGACTTGAGAAATTTCATATGTCTTGGCAAGGGAGGGTGTAATATCAGGGATGGATTAAATTCGAGAGGTAGAGGGTGAACATGGACAGAGCAATGTTCATTTATTGGGTCAAGGAAAGCATCACTTCATAGACCTTCTTAACGTTGTGCAAAGTTTACAGGATAATATTATATTTATTTTGACCATGGGAATGATTTAAAGAAAGGATTATTTGAGAAAACCGTCTAGACTGAAAACATTGCCTTTTATGTAAATGCTGTGTGGATGTAATACGTTCCAGAATAAGATCTGAAAATCCCTTGAGCATATGCAAAGTATTTTAAAAAATAAGAAATAAATGGATGAAAAACAGTGTTTTCAATCGATTTGAGACGGTGATTTTCTTGGTAGCTTTAATCCTCAGGCCTGTTGTGAAATGACATGAACGTAACACAGTCTTTTTGCACCAGTTTGTAAACCATATTGGAAATTGTCTTTGCAAATAATATATTTGAAATACATTCCACATCTATCATTGAAATACTTAACTCACTCACTTTGTTCATTTTGATTTATCACTTGATTTATTTCTCATGACAAACTTATAGACAAAATAAAAACTTTTAAAACATTAAATGACATCTTCCAGTTTGGGCTATTATTATTAAATTATTAAAGGTACAATACCCTATTTGGAATGGGCCATTACTGTGCAGACATTGAAACTTGAACTGCATATATATGTGAAAAGTAACTTCAGTAATAATCAGTGGTGCAGCAATGCCTCTCAGCATTCTACAAACAGAAATGTTTTGCCCTGTTAAACAGGTGGAAATGCAGACTGAGAGACATGAATGACTTGTGCGTAAAAAGCCATTGAACTCCTCAAAGAACTGAGGATCTTGAAGTAGACATTGGCATGTGCCACTTATATACCTGTACCAACACTTTGTAAGCTCAGTGGTCAGCCCTTGTGGTCAGTTTCTAGAGTGTTTAATCCATTGTTTAACAGTGCTTCAAATTTTAGGGTCAATTTTATGGATGGTTGGGTCATAAGAAACAAATGTTGAATTAAACCTTTGAAATATGTACAATTCCGAACCAAGGGGACACAATCTAGGATGGGAAACATACATTGCTGTTATATTTTACATTCAGTGACGTTTTGAAGTCAGATTAGTTGGACATGTGGGAAGTCATTAGTTGATATGCATATAACTGCCTTGATTAAGTTGTATTTGTATGTAAGAGGGAAACCTAACTGTTTGATTGAGTAGTGAGTAAGTAGGAAAACGTGCAACTTTATGGATAACAACTTCTTGTTCCTCCAGCTTGATAACGGTGTAAAAATCTACATGGAAACGTCACTATATGCATTAAACCAGAAGTTGTTTCCATAAAGTCGTATGTTTTCTTACTTTCTTCAAAAAGAAACCTGCTGGTATCAGAAGAATTTGTTAACAGTCAACAGTCAAACTGTTGTTTGTTTTGTTTAATGCAGCATTCAGCAATATTCCAGCTCTGTGACTGCAACCTGTATATAACCAAACCTGGACTAGACAATCTTGCAATCAGCCTGGCCCAGGTACACAAAGTCACAGATGTTAGTGCTACGATTGTCGTAAGCCTTGAAAGCCTGTGTTAGAGTATGGGAGTTACGATCATCTTTGTGCTACTATAGCTGTGTGGCAGAGGATCATGGTCATCAAATCTGACAGCCGATCCATGTAGTCCCTGCCTTCCACTAGCATACATTACCGGGGACCTGTTCTAACCCAGAATCCCATAGCTCCCATTTCTATCCCTGTCTTTGTCTTGGTTCCATGTCTCATGTTGTCTCATCTGTTACCGGGGGACCTGTTCTAACCCAGAATCCCATAGCTCCCATTTCTATCCCTGTCTTTGTCTTGATTCCATGTCTCATGTCTCATACGTTACCGGGGACCTGTTCTAACCCAGAATCCTATAGCTCCCATTTCTATCCCTGTCTTTATGTTGGTTCCATGTCTCACGTAGTCTCATCTGTTACCGGGGACCTGTCCTAACCCAGAATCCTATAGCTCCCATTTCTATCCCTGTCTTTATGTTGGTTCCATGTCTCACGTAGTCTCATCTGTTACCGGGGACCTGTCCTAACCCAGAATCCTATAGCTCCCATTTCTATCCCTGTCTTTATGTTGGTTCCATGTCTCACGTAGTCTCATCTGTTACCGGGGACCTGTCCTAACCCAGAATCCTATAGCTCCCATTTCTATCCCTGTCTTTATGTTGGTTCCATGTCTCACGTAGTCTCATCTGTTACCGGGGACCTGTTCTAACCCAGAATCCTATAGCTCCCATTTCTATCCCTGTCTTTATGTTGGTTCCATGTCTCACGTAGTCTCATCTGTTACCGGGGACCTGTCCTAACCCAGAATCCTATAGCTCCCATTTCTATCCCTGTCTTTATGTTGGTTCCATGTCTCATGTTGTCTGTTGGTTCCAGTTGACTGCTGGGACGGTCCAAACGACGAGCCTGTCATCTACCATGGACACACTCTCACCTCAAAGATCTCCTTCAAGGCTGTCATAGAGGCAATACGAGACTACGCATTTATAAAGTCTGAGTGAGTATTGTGTTCATGCTCATTACACTACTTCTTGTAACTCTGACAGTATAACACACATGACATGCTATGCTATGACTAAAACATGATGTGCTGATAGAACAAGATCCTGATTGCTATATCACTTTACAGTTCTGTATTAGAAGAGAGAGCACCTGTGTATCTGCTGAACCATGTTTTCTTGTGCTTTGTGCATGAAGCTTATTGGGCTCTGAGCCTTTTCCCTAATACTAGAGGTCTTGTTTTGGTTATGTTGATTTGTGTCATTCAGTTAGGAGATAAACGTACTGTGTTTTGAAATTAGAGGTGGTCTCACTGTTGATTTCGGTCTCTTATATTTAATTTGTAACTGAATGCTCCAACTTAAGTCATATGTCTTTCAGAATTAGATCTTTATATAAATATACTTAGTCTCAAGCTTTCTCCCCTGGCCTTCATCAGGGGTTTAGCACTACATTTTTCGAGATCTTATTTAGATCTTTATGTGTTAATAAGTCATTCATTGTAAGTTCCCAATGTCAGTGTAATGCCACCACACTTTGATGCTCCAATGATAAGATAAGATAAGATAATATTTTATTGCAGAAACGTTCCATTACGGGACAGATGCAATTTTAAAAGACAAGACATTATGATTTATATATACATATATACAGACATACATAATTTACATTCCTGTAGACACATACAGAAACAAAATAATCAATATTATATATTTTTATACATAAAATGTCAACGGTTGATTATGAAAGGGTATTTATTGTTTGAAATTATAGATGTGGAAACAAATGCAGTTGATATTGACTGCTTCATTATTTGATAGGATGTATTGAAATAATTTGTCTTCATGACTGTGAACATTTACATTTACATTTTGTCTGGATAGTTTTTCAAAGAGTATATTTCTTTCTCGAGTGTGTTTAATGCAGTGAAGTAAGTAATGTTTTTCGTTATCAATGATTGAACATGTAGAGCATAGCCTCTGATGTAGTGGGGTTGGTGGCTTTGTGTGTCTTCCAAGTTCAATATTTAATTTATGGTTACTTAATCTTAGTTTAGAAAAGTGGACTCGATATTTTTTTACTTTACAGTGACTGAGATAGGGTTCTAATTTTATTTCATTTTTAACTATCCTATATGTCCTAAGTTTGTTTCCTGTGCCTCTTGTTGTATTTACATCTTGAAGAGATTCCTTGAAGAGGGAGTTGAATTTAGATTTGATTTTCTCTTTGAATATAGGTGATAGGAAAGCTGAAATACTCAAATTGTGTTTTCCTAAGAATAGATTTAGCTGGTATACCCATCCTAATCGTTTTTTCACCAAATATGTACTTTCTGTAAAAGCGTTCTGAAGTATTATGTTTTTGGAAGAACAGACATGGTGATAAAAATTTGCTATTTTGATTAATACTGTGTAGATAAGGGGGTAGAGTCCTAGTTCAGCTCGGCTTGCCCAGTTATGTGTTGTTTTGTTGACACCTAATATGGATTTACAAAATTTGAGCTGCAGTTTTTCGGGGATAAATGAATCAAAGTTGTTCAGGAGGATTGATTCTACACCCCAGATTTCACTATTATATAAAATTACTGGCTCGATTAATGTTTTAAATAGTTTGCAAGCAAGAGCTATTGGTATATCTTGGTTCAAAATGGTGGACTGAAGCTTGTGGTAGGCCCCTAGGCCTTTTTTCAAGAGAGGTTTAGCACTGTTTTTAAGTTTACCATTTGCTTCGAAGCGTATTCCTAAATAGTTATAACTATCTGTAACTAGTATTTTTGTATCACCTATGGTCCAAGTATTCTTTTCTTCTGTTTTAATTGATTGTCCAAACACTACAACATTTGTTTTATCACTATTAATCTTTAGGTTATTTGTGGCACAAAATACCTTTAGTCCATCAAGTAACACTTGTAGCTTTTGGGGGGAATCGGCAAATAGAACTAAATCATCGGCAAACAACAAATGACAAATGTTGAAACCATTGAGTGTTATATTATTGCTATCAGATTTGATATAATGTGGAAGGTCATTGAGGAATATATTAAATAATGTGGGAGACAAAATGCACCCTTGTCGTACCCCAATGTTGGATTTAAAGGATTGTGAAACGCCCTTGTCAGTTTTCACTTTATAAGAGATATCACTGTATAGTGATGATATTATTTTAAATATGTTTCCTGAGATTTTATTTGATAATACCTTTGTTAGGAGTAGTGATCTGTCAACTGAATCAAAGGCCTTTTGAAAATCTACAAAGCAAGTGTATAGTTTTTTTCTTTTTACTTTTTGTAGAATCTATTAATGTTTTAAGAACAAATACATTATCTGATGTTTGGTAGCCCTTCCTAAATCCAGACTGACAGTGGTCTTGTAATTGGTTTTTGTCCATGTGTTCCATTATTCTTTCATTTATAACCTTACAGAATAGCTTACCTAAGCAGCTGCTTAGTGCAATACCCCTGTAGTTGTTAGGGACAGTCTTATCACCCTTCTTATGTAATGGGGTAACAACCGAGGCTGCCCAGCTCTGTGGAAAGTGACCGCTATTTAATACGTCATTAAACAGTTTAACCAACTGGTCTATCAATGAACAAGATATTGATTTTAAAAGTTCATTACTTATGTTATCTTCGCCTGGACTTTTGTTTGTTTTGAATTGTTTTATACAAGTGAGAATTTCATTAGCTGTTATTGGTTTATTAAGACCGTCACATATATGCATATCTCCATGTCTTGAAGAATTTTGTAGAGGATCCAGAGAAGATATTTTTGTTTTAGTGTTGTAAATATTCCTGAAGTGGTTTGTTAGCTCCTCAGGATCAGGATAAACAGATTCCTTTTGGGATGAGGTTCTAAGTTTATTTAATAGTTTCCAGAATTTTTTGGGTTCCTTTTTTGACAGGGTTTCTAGTTGTTCAATGTGATTTTGTTTATAGATACGTTGTTTTCTTCTGAGTAACTTCTTGTATTCTTTTTTGGATGCAAGAGCCCTATTTTTAATTGATATATTGCTTTCTTTATTGAACTCTTGATATTTTTGTTCCATATTACGTTTTGCCGCTTTACATTCAGCATCATACCATTGGTTTTTTGGTACATTTGATTTATTTTTGCAAGGTTTTGTTGACAATTTGTTGACAGTTTGTAATATATCAGAGAAGGCATCAACAAGCGCTTCACATTCAGAACCATCTTTTGGACTGGAGGTTAACATAAAATTGTTTAAGGCAATTTGAATATTGAAGTTTGAGGTAGCATCTTTAACACATGTGTGGCTGTTGGAATGCCAGCGTCTTCTGCCCCTGTATTTAGTAAAGATTACATTTGTGGCCTTATTAATGTTTTTGTTCATTTTAGGGAGTTGATCTGTGGTTACTGAAAGTTTAAGGGATAGCTGGCAGTGATCTGATAACCATGTTAATGGTTTTATGTTGAAATATGAAATATTTTGGTAGATTCCTTCTGTGACTAACGCGTAATCAACAACGCTATGACCATTATACGTGTGACATGTAAAGTTGCCAAGTCTGTCACCAATAGTTCGCCCGTTTAATATTATTAATTTACAGCATGTGGCTATATCAAGGAGCGATTTCCCATAATTATTGGTTTTAACATCAAGACTACATCTTGGGGTTTGTATGTCTGAGGTTATATCACTGGGTAGGTCTGGCAGGTGATCTATGTTTGTATTATCAATACATTCATCCTCGCACGCTGTACGGGCATTAAAGTCCCCCCCCAAAAATGATCTCACCTAAATTAGAGAATTTGATTATTTCTTTAAGGAGGATGTCAAATGGATCAATATTGCATTTTGTCCAAAATGAGGACCCTTCTGGCGGTATGTAGATGGTACCTATATAAATATCTCTCTTGGTGCAACATAATGTTCTATCTATTTTCACCCAGAGAGAAAAAAGGCTAGATGAAATCACATTTACATGGTGTTTAAGGTGATATTGCATACAGTTTTATCAGCCACTTGACACTGCTTTGCTTTAGCGTTTTCTTGGAATTTCAGCAGAGGCCGACTACACAAAGATTATTGACATTGACAGGTTAAGGTCACAAGACAAATAAATCTCACTGAAGAGTTTGTGGTTACACTTTCTCAAAAAGGATTGATGCATTTGTCATGAAACTTGGTATACACCTTCTGAATGGTGGGGCCCTATTTTCATAGGTTTGGGTTACGATTCGTCAAAGGTCAAGGTCAGTGTTCATTTTTTTGTAAAACATTGCCATAACATTATCTGTTTCTGAGGCTTGCTTACCTGCACTGGCAGGACACTTTAGGTTTACTATTTTACATCTATTTTTTTAACAAATTTCACCATGTTACATGTCAGTTGCATTCATGTCAATGGTCAAGGTAACCTTTGAGGTAATTGTGCAATGTAGTTTTTTAATACAATATTATAGATATTAGATTATATCCTACGATCCTACAACTTATTTCACATGGATCTAAGAAATTCTCGTGTCACATTCTATGAGAAGGTCAAAGCCCAAGGTCAGGAGATAAAAATATCTCACTAATAGGTTTATGGTTTGAAGTATAAATGTATTTATCATTACACTTAATATAGGTCTTCTTTTGGATGAGTCCCTGCTTTGTAAAGTATTTGGTCCAAATAAGTCAGGTCAAGGTCAGTGAAACTATTTTGTGAGGTCTCGAGAAATGGCAGTGAGGGAGCTGCTCCTAGTTCGTAATGCAGTGCTATTTTTTGTCAGATTGTCATTTTTGGCTGGTGACACCAATATTTTGCAGTTGTTTATGGCATGAAGGGTCTTGGCTATGTCAGTGTTTGAGATAAAAAAAGAAAGAAGACAAATTATATATTAATGTTTTTATACTATACCAACTACCAAGATTAAATTGTAATATGATAATTATTTAAATATAAACTTGCTAATAAAATCAAGATTTTATGATTAAATTTGTGGTAAAAATATATCTTATGTTTCATGTTGATTAATGTGAAGTAAGCATTGT